TTATAGATAAAAGGTATGTATATCATAGAAAAAGTACACCTGATTGGCTGACATCACATGAAGATGATAAATACATTTTGATGGAAAACTGGTCACTTCTAAAGAATTTGAAACTAAACTCTCGATTGTAAATTTATAAAACACATTCATTGCAGGCAGTACGGAAGAAGAAAAACAAATAAACGTATACTTATCAATGGTAGTTAACAACAGGGAGCCTACTAGAGCAAACAACTTTCATAATCTTGTAGCTAAGCTGGAAAAAGGTAGCTACTTAGCATAGTAAGTTGGTATTCATTATGGACTGACATCAGTTCGAGCAGAATTGGAGGCCCAGAAGCAATGAACAGCTGTTTCGTCCTAGCATAGGACTCCTCAGTAGTGTGCACTCATGACGCCACCAGGGATAGAAAAGAGGACCTTCAGGTTCCGTGGCCAACATGCTATTAATGAGCTACTGAGTCAGAATCCAGTGGTCCATATCTTTCAACTTTTGTCAGTTCATGACATAGTGCAGCTATCACCCAGCGTCATAGATGAGAAGTCCCATACTAGGGACAAAACAGCTATCCAGTGCTTCCAAGTTTCCGATGTTCCTCCAACTGATGAATACCAACTGGAAATCAATAAACTCCCACAAACCCCCAAATTGAATATTATGTTTACATGAATAGTTGAGAAGGAAATGAAAATTTGAACCGCGACGGGACTCGAACCAGCGAAGACTGGGCTCTGCCAACTGAACTATCTGGTAGTCGTTAGTTCGAATCTAGCCACGGTTCAAATTTTCATCTCACCTTCAATTATCACATAGTATCAGTACTAGTCTGCCAAACCACGGCCATCTCAGATAGTCAAAGTGATATGTAAGACCATTATGTTCGTATTTCAATATGCGTGCATACAAAAGTTTACGGTTAAGATCAGGATATTGACTCTATGGTTAACTGATTTAAAAAAACCCAACATATCATATTATGATTGAGATTTTGTTGATGAGAAATAAATCTTAAGAAACATTAACCTAAACAGGAGGTTTGTTTGTGTGACAGACCACGAGTCAAATTCATTTAGCTAATAACGCTAACTGACGATACAGATGAATCACTGAAGTCGTTTTAAAAGTATTATGCAGGCGGATTTGACGGTAAGGAAATCCCATTTAGGAACAAGAAGGAATTCTGTATAATATAAAGTCAGAAAGCAATATCTCTCACGTGTAGGCAATGGTTGAAGTCAGACGAAGGGCACTAGGCAAGATAAGTAAGTCGATTGGTGAAAATGTGGATCTCAGCCGACTGAGATGGTTTGGACATGTACCTCAACATGTCATGCTAGGGGAAGTTAGATTAAGTTAGAAAAGGGTTTAGGGCAGGAAGACCAAGACGTGATATTAGCCGATAAAGTCGCTAACTGTTGGTCTGAATCATGTAGGGGAACGTAGATTGCCTGGTGAAAGAAATCAGCTACAATGACGCAGAGATGTATTCACTCCATGACGTCTATACACTAAAGCCTAAATATTTAGAATCATCTTTGCCTTCAAATTGTTTCTTCTCTCATATTTACTCTCATCTTCTATCCACCTGTTCTTTGAATACTATACTGTGAAGTATGACAACTTGAAGTGATGCACTTGTGTGTACAAGGTTCTAACGTTGATTATATCACTCAGTAATATCGAAAACAAACATACAGTTTGAATTACCCTCCTCTTAACAAAGTAATAAAAAATATAACATTAAATAGTTTTCATTAACAGCTTAACAACCTTCATACTCATTGACTCAATGTAAAAAGTTTGTTTTGATTAAATTATACATAGAAAACAGCTGTATATGAATAAAATAGTATGTACAAGTAGGTTCGAAAAAATGAACGCCCTATGTAATATACATATACACATAGATATAATTATTTTCAATCATGGTATATTCACAATTGCCAAGTATATTTGTATTTCATAGCATGTTGTTGACTGTCTGTCATGATTGTCTATATTCTTAATTGTTAGTTTGTATTCTATTTATATGTTTAGTCAGTTGTGTATTGTATACACAATACAATATGGGGGTATGTTTAAATTCTATGGTAATCAGAAGTTCATGTATGTCTACAAATACATTTGTAACACACGCAAATGACTAACAACTTTTGTGACTATATATACATATATATAATTGAGCCAGCTACCTTCTCAACAAGTCAAAAGATGAGTGGAAAAGTTTTATTTGTACTTTAAATGACCAAATAGGAGGATGGATAGGCTGTATTTTACTTTTTAAAGCTTTCTATGACAACCATGATTTGGTAGACTAGTATTGATACTGTGTTACCGGTCATGGTCCAAATTTTCATTTCCCTTTCAATCATCATCCAAGTATCACTAGTCCGTTAAACCACGGCTATCTCACTCAGATAGTCAAAATGATAATCAATATGATGTACCCCGTCTCTAATCCAAGTAGCTTTGGATTGGGACGATAAGTCCTGACTAGGCAACCAGTGTGAATATGACCAAGCGGTAATAACGCGTTATGAATTCACATGGTGGTAGTCGGGCAAAACCCCGCTTGTGATTGAAATGAAATAGAAATCTGGTAGACCATTGGGCCGGAAACCCGGTGTTCGCCGGCTGGAATCCGACCGCGGTTCAAATTTTCACTTCACCTTCAATCACTACCCAGTAACAATAGCATTGATTGCAAAACCTGATCACGATTGTTGAAATCTCCATTTATTCATGATAGACTAAACCAATTTTACAATCTTATTACGCATTAAAATTATCATACAAACAGACAGGCAAAATCAACGTAGAAGTGAATCGGTTCAAGCTGCCATATTTCACAATAGTATACAAAGAACTAGATAGAATAAGAGTGAAATCAAAGTAGACATGAAGATTAGTCAAAGCATCTAAGCTTTAGAAGACATCACAGAATTACTAGGGTGCAGGTACATCCAGCTGACGAGCCCCAAAGAGGAAGAAATGCATGTTCCGGATTCCACTGCTAGCTACCAAGAAAAACACAATATAATGAATATTCGGCAGTATCAAGACATCCACATAGAAGCCCATATCCCAACAGAGGTTAACCAATTCGACCCAGTATATCAACGAGAAATGACGAACATCAAAACAAACATATTATAGACAACTTTGAAGGACTGACATGAAACATAAAAGTCTCTAATAGCATGTTTAAGTTAGAAAATGAAAGGGTAGATTCACTGTTATAACAGATGCTAGTCACAGAAATCCAAAACAGTCTAATACAGACACAGTTCACGTCAGGCATCTTCGGACATAGAGGATACTAACCTCAGTTGATTTACGTCAGCCAGTTTGCTATGGAACAACGTGTGGACTGTTAGTCTAAATGCAAGTTTAATACAACGGACTATTGGTTCAGATTCCAAATGAACCACCGACAAGATTTGACTAGTCTTCACAAATCAAGTGTGACTCATTAAGGTAAAGGGGTCTGAACACGCTTTTACTTTGGCACGATACTATGAAGTTTGAAACGAGCGAATGCTCTATACTAGGTTAAAAATAAATAAGTGGGTGTGTACTGCTGAGAAGTCCCATACTAACAGGAAACAGCTGTCCAGTGCTTCCCGGTTTCCAATAGTTCCCCAACTGACGCCGGTTCGTAATGAATACCACCTGAATCAAAATCCCCATTTATCTCAAAATACATTACTGTATAGTGCTCACTAGTAAAATGTTTCCAGATGGATATCTAGAAGTTCTAGTGGGAAGCTGCGACCTGTGGAGTCAACAACTTGGAAGGGAAGGGGATGCCAACTGAAGACCTCAATGGATAGTCGAGCCATATTGCGAACTGACAGAAGTTGGAAACTGTGTACCATTGAACTCCGACCCAATGAGTGAATGGTCAACGCGTTCGCCGTGAAACTTAAAGGTCCTGAGTTCGATCCTTAGCCGGGTCGTGGGTGCGTACTCTTGACAAGTCCCATATTAGGACGAAACTGACGTCAGTCCGTGATGAATACTACCTCTAAATAAGTAAACATTTAAAATACCTAGATAATTTTCTACAGCGTTTGCGAGTGACTTTAGTTATATCAGTTTGTTTTAGCATGTAGGAGGCATCCAATCGTCGATAGTCGCCATTTTTGAGTCCCCTTCGTGTTGATTAGCAACAACGCACCCGAAGTCCCTAGCTCAACCATTAATAGACAGATAAGTTTAACGATCTTTGCCTAATATAACCTCTTTACTTCTGACCAATAAATAAACTGCTCGTCTGAGCATACTTTACCACATAACTTTTTCTTACTTGTCTTGAAGGATGTGTACACTAGGGTTGATCATATGCAGTAAAGGAAAACAGCGTATAGTATATGACAGCACATTTTGCATGTGATAAGTTTGAACCGTGTCGTATCCCCAGATGTTTGGGCGCCAAGGAAATGTCATTCTTTACACGATATATGACTTACTGCCTAGTACATAAAAATAAGTACATGTAGGACAGATAAGCACCAGTTGAGATAAGTCTTATTGGCTTGAATTTCGAACAAAAGGTCCTGGATTCGAATCCCGCTTCACTTACCTTGGCATGGGCAACTGGGTAGTATAGAAGTGAAGTGTGCTTAGCAGCCTTGTGTACATACGTGCAGTAGGCAGTGAGTCAAACCAATTATGTGAGGTCTAGTCATATTACCTGGTTGCCCAAACCTCGGTAGGTGCAGCGGCGATCGAATCCGTGAGTAGTATAAAATAATATAGTAAGACCACATAATAAGTTTGGCTTATAGATTAGTGCATACACCTATATACAGGGTTGACTTGTACTATTATCATCATTAGAACGTATTGCTAATTGACACTAAAATTCAGGGTGATTTTAAATGGCATTACTACTTTCCAGAGTTAGAGATTTGAATACAACCGTGTGCATAAGCCTCTAAGAAGAACAGTTTTCGACTGTTTAAAATACCACTTATAAATTGATAACAAAACTCACCTGTTTCTCATCTAGATTTTTGTCACTGATAATGGCAGACAGGGCAGCTGGAGATATCATTGGAGGAAATGGAGTTTGTCCAGTTACTCCATCCAATGGGAACATCATAGGTCTTGGAGCATTAGGATTGGAAAGCGATGTTGACGTGGATGAAAAGGGAGTATGCGCTGCAGAACCAGAAGAGCCATGATATGGAGTGTTCGCCAAAGTGGATGTATTAGAAGATACCGATGGTGGAATCGACCCACCTGTCAGACAATTGGTGGTCCCAGATGAAAAGGAAGTTGGCATATTATTAATATGAGCAGGAATCTGAGAGTACGGATGATTACTGTTGTTGAGGAGACCACCGGATAAAGGGTTCATTGAAGGGTTTGTGTTCCCTGGGGGGAAGCCTGCAGCAGCTACAGCAGCCATAGCTGCTGCTACTGCTGGGTGAGACTGCGCGAGACCGGAAAGGAAAGCTGGATTATTAGGCCCAGGGATTCCAGGAAGAGATGACTGAACACCAGGAATGCTGGAATTACCTACAGCATTACTGTTGGTAGGAGGTGTTACTGAACTGGTCATTTGTGGTAGGAAAGGATTGGGAGGTAGAAGCATATTATTAGAAGTATTACTGTTCATAGATGGGATTCCACCACTTAAACTATTAATTCCAGTGGATGGTGGTCCAGTGAATCCACTCAGACTAGTTAAAGATGTGGTGGTTTGAGAACCTCCTCTGGAGCCACTTATGGATAGAACTGAGTTATCTGGTGGTAATTGTCCTAATGATGGTGGGACAAGATTGTGTGGAAATGGATTATTTAAACCTCCAGATCCCGGATTCATCAGTAATTGTTGCTGTTGCATTGTCTATAAACAGAGAAAAAGGAAGATCAGGAAGCAAAAACCAAATAAACGATACGGTGAAAACTGTGCGACGAAACAAAGTAGAAAGACGAAATTGATGATTGCTACGTGCAAAATTGGTTAAAAACAAGAAACAGTTTTCAGGTAGTATTCGTCACGGATTGACACCAGTCGGAGAACCATACTAGTATAGGACTTCTCAGCAGTACGCAACCACGGCCGAGATGCGGACCGAACCCAGGACCTTCAGGTTCCACAGAGAACGCATTAACCACTCAGTCACTGGGTTGGATTTCAATGGTTAACAGTTTCCAAATTCTGTCAATTCGCAATACAGCGCGAATATAGTCCTATGAAACATGTACCCAAGCAGCAACTTACTACTCAAAGTTTTAAAAATGGAAAATTTAGGTGTGTCCTACAGTAGACATGTAACAAACACATTTTTAAGACCAAGATCAGTGAATGAAGCGAAAGGATGTACTACATAGTCATATGAAGTTCCTCAATAATACTGATATGCCATCTTACAAGTTCAGATGTAAAGTAACTATGGTATATTAAAAAAAGTAAAACCTGTTAGTTGTAAAGTAACTGGAAAACATCCAATATAGCAAGAGATGTCTTGAATGTACACTCACTAAGGTTTTAAAAGACAACTATTCAGCTAGTGCAACCGTAGAACCTGAGCACTGTGGCAGTGCGTAATTCTATGTCAATTTGTTTGTTGATATTTACTGAATTACCTATCAAACAGAATTTACTGTCCAAATTATCAGTTATATGAGTGGTCATTTGCCTATTATTAAAAAAAACACGGTACAATATAGATACCAAAAAATACCATATAAAGTGATATAACGCGAAGTAGACAATAAGTGGAAGAGGATGGAAACAAAAATAGAAGTAATCTCAACGACAAATCCACTCCTCGATAACAGAAGAAACATGAAAACTGCAGTATGATCTCCGCTGGTCTTGATTCTAAACCATGTCTGCCATTATCTGAAGCCACTAGGTTGCATGATCTCTTCGACCCCAACCAGGGAGTCGTAAGGCACCTACACCTGCCAAATCATCACAACTGCCCTTCATCCAACGGCAAGTGAACAGTGAGCGACGTAGGAGACGCTGGGATAACCTACCTAACAAACATTTAAGCCACTGAAGCCGGTCTCTCAAAGTCACCCTACTCAACGAATGACGATCTCCATCACAAACAAACACGCTGTCACACATCAGAATAACTCACATAGTGTCCTCACTAGATTTCAAGCGATCCTACAAAGATGCAGAGCTGGCGGAGGTCCTAAACTCGAAGAGACTAGATTTTACAGGCGTTGAGCAAAACTACCTGCACCGACGCGGTGTGGTCCCATTCTTTTACAGCAAGGCTAACATCACAAGGTGATCTAGATTCATTTTGCATCAGCCCTAACTGCTGGTTGCTAACAAAATTTTAGCTGGGATACAGGCTCGTTTGGCATTTGCTATATCTGTGGCGCTGACTGATGAGATCGACTATCTATCAGAGAACGAGTACACTACGCTGCAACTGTCCTTTTGTACGACTGTGGGGCATGGCCGCTAAAAGGAGATATAAAGCGGTTACAGGCATTTGATCATAGGTGTCTTCGCAGCATTGCTAACGTTTGGTGGAATTACCGTATGAGCAATGTTGAGGTCAGGCGAAGGGTACTAGGCAAGACAGGCAAGTCGACTGATGAAGTTGTGAACCTTAGTCGACTAAGATAGCTTGGACATATACTACGCATGCCACGCTATTGCTTACCTCGACATGCTATGCTAGAGGAAGTCGGATAAGGCTGGAGGAGGGTTCAGAGTGGCCAGACGAGGACGTGGCACCAGTTGATGAAGTCCTCAACAGTTGGTTTATGCCACGTGGTTGTGGACTCTTGGTTATATGGCTGAAAATCGGTCGCAGTGGCGTAGATATATTTACTCCTTAGCATCCAAAGCTTGCATAATTGCACTATCTTTCATCTTCAGATTGCTTCTCTTATACTACTTTAAAAACTCATATCACTCTTTTTCTGTCTTGTAAAGTGTGGCGACTTGAGCCGATGCACCCGTGTGCCAGGTTTTACATTGGTTTTGCCATTCAGTGCTTCTCTAGTTATCGATATACATTAGGAAATCTCACCAGCTACAATTCCACGAGAACTCCAATTACCCAGATTTCTTGACAACTGTCGACGGTTCACCGCCAAGGGTGGGTGCAGATGTAGGCACCCTATCAGTCTTGTAGAATCCCTTTGATGGTGCGAAGAACATACCATACTTACAGATACTGATCGTTAAATTGTTAAGTGCGATTCGAGTAGCCTGTACGTTATTGCATAGAAAACTACATTGATGTTGAAGTCTCACCTACTACAGGTCTACACCGCGCCCAGACACCTTGAGGGCTGTCTCGAGAATATCATCCACAGCAAAGTTAAAGAGGAATAGAAGCATCCTACAGAACTACCTAACCCCATTATTGGTTTCGAACAATAAAAATAGGTGGCGGTAAGTCTTCACTCTATCTGAAATGTTGAAGTATGGGGTTTTCAAGATGTTGACAAATATCTTGAAGACATCCGCCGTTAGGAGATTATTTCAGAGAACAGCCCGGCTCAACGATTCGAAGGCAATTCTAACATCGAAAATACGACTGCTGGTCTGATGGTGTTTGAACATTGGCATGGAGTGAACGCACGGTCAATGTATCCACGACTCGAAAGAAACCCAGCCTGCTCTTCACGAGTCAGTTTTCTACGCGTTTCGTAGAGCCTGCAAAGTATGAAAGCAGGCAATATTTTAAACGCTGCTGGTAGCAAACTAATCCACCAATAATGGTCATATAAATTACGCAGTTTTAAGACCAACAGTTAGACCGTAAAATAAAAAACGTAGATAACAGCTAGCCAGTGAAAACGACATAGCGGCGTTAAACTCATACACACACCTCACATAGCCACACTAAACGAGAACGTATCAAGATGAAAAATAGAGAAATGAGGAAGAATAGTCAGAAATGATCAAAAGAGAGCACATATGAATAAGACGGTGATAGAATTCAGCAGGACGATTAAGATGAGGATACATCTGCGCCACTGACATCGATTCTGAATCATATCACCCACAGTCTCCAACCACTGGTTTCTGTGGTCACGTGGAGTTTAACTGTTAAGTCTACATTTCCATACACGGCTTATACTAACAGTCAAAGACTTCAGGGACTGATGCTATGTTTTAGTCTGGATACTTCTAACCTTTTGCCAGCCTGAACCTATTTCAGGTAACATTATGCGATGAGGCATACAGTGACTAAGTATGGGTAACAAACGTACCAGACATCTGAATCCATGAAGGTTAACAACATCGACTGACTTCCTTTCTACCTAAAATTATACGCCTGACTTCTACGTTACTGACGCGATGATACCATAACATACAGATTATGCTACGAAGATGAAGGTGGTCGAACGCCTGAAATTTTTGCATGTTCTCTACCTTTGATGACCATATTTTACAGCCATACAGTAAAACAGAGTGATATTTTTATACGTAATTTAGAATCGGAAATTAAGAAAACATGTGAATCAACGTTACCGTATGAGCAAAAACTATCCATTATAGTCTCTACAGCTAAGTTGTGACAACGACCAATATGTAGTGCTTTAAACTACAAGTCCTGAAGAGAGTCAACCAGTTGATACAAGTTTAACCCTGGGGAAAACTATTCACTTACAGTCCTACTGCTAACTTCAGCAAAAGTTTGAAGGAAATATTGAAAAATGTGCTGCAAGTGCACGTCGACTGATGTTGAAGCAAAAAGTAACTATACTCAGTACACGTGCTTTTCACTTTCCTGGTTGAAGACCTTAATGGTTCTTAAAACAATTTTTGAAAACACTACGCTATCATAGGAAAATTTTCAGAAGAGCCACTTCTATAGTTTCTTTTCATTGTTTTCCTTACTGCAGTAATTAAAGTGACAATATACAAAACTGGTTTCATTTTATTTCCTAAAATGTAGGTCACCGTATTTAGTAGAGGTTTACAACTCCATCAACTGATCAACCTTTAACTTATACTTTTTGCTTGCCTTTGACAATACTTATATAGTTATTACGCGAAGGTAACCAGTCACGTGACAGGATTTTTCGAGTAAACTCCACCTAACTCGAAATAAACATCAATCATAGCACTTTGACGGCTGGCGAAATCTCAGCATCCCAACAATAGGTTTGAAATACACTAATCAAATGATGGAATACTAATATTATCGATACACATCGATCAAGTACAAACAGTACCTAGAAAAACTAAGCTCCAGATGGTAGTTGAGATAGGACATAACGCTTGCAAAGTACTCGAAAAAGACGGCACTTTGTCGACTATCACATCAGGCATGATGATCGAGAAGTTTATCGAAAGCGAGCGAAACTTGTTAAAATCAAGCGGATAAGCAGAACTGAGAATGCATACAATATTTATCAGTAATCACATGTGGAGAAGGATAAACTAACTCTAATGCCGAACAGCTCATCATTATCATTCGGTTTCTATATTCGACTTCCTGAAACCACTTTCATAATGAGTACGATAGGAGCGAAACTTATGCACATCCCTGTAGTAGGCAATGATTCGAACTTATTGTCTGAGGGGTAATGATATCTGGCCGGCCAGACCTCGGCAAGTGAAGGTGTTCGAACCCATGGCCTACCGGTTGAAAATCAACTGCCTAAACCAATTAGCCACAGATCAGTTGAATAAAATATAAGTGAACAGTCACTACCGATAAGGCGGTTACGGAAAGTAACTGGATAAGTAAAAGAAATACCTTCTTGTGGTAATAACTACCCGTTTGTTCAGTAAATATTTTATTTTTCTTCTGGAACGATACGTTTTTGATCAAGCTTTCAAACCGCAACAGTTTGGCGCTTCTGAAAGAAACATCACGCGTGATACTTTTGGAAAGTTCTACTGATCAGCTTGTGTCACAAAATGAAAAGATAACCGAAGTTAAACTCTGTGAGCGGTGCTCTCACTTCCGTATTACTATAAGGATTTCACTTCATAAAAATTAAGTTTCTTCAGACAAGTTTGGGACATGATTACTGGTAGAGCTGATGAAAAAAACAGAGAGGGATTGAGAAAACTGGACAACTTCGGGGTAATGACACACGAATTTTAGAAGTACAGACTAGGGTTGCTTAACCTTGAAAGACACCCGATAATCACTACTACTGTGATCTACAAAAAACTGGTAGCATTAGGTCACACTTATTGTAAGGACGAATGGTCCTATATGGCAATCCAAATCTCGGTAAATAGAGTTCGAAAATCGAATGACTAGACCAATGTTACAACTTGAACGAAACACGAGTTTCCCTTGCAATCAATAAAAACCTTGTTACTCATTCGGAACTCTGATTTAATGAGATAGAAAGTGAAGTGCTAACTTACCTTGAAAAAGTCCATTTGATCAAATGATGACCCGAGACCCCCATTAAGGAATTTAGGACCCTTGGACTCATCCAGTTGAGGCTAAACATTGTTAGTTAATTTATTTCTAGCTCACCCCAATAATGCTACTAAGTTCCGACAAAGTAACTTGTTTCGCACGATCAACTGCTGCAGCGACCTGAGATTGGTGCTGGAGCCAATATGTGACTTTAAATGGAAACAAACCTCTTGAGACAGAAATGGAATAACCTGCACCAAGATAGCATTGAGCCGCTTCGCAATCTCCATCTGAAAGGTAAGACGTGATATAAGCTCGTCTTACTTGTTTGTGCATTTCAACATTAAGGCCATAAGTTATTTCATAATAAAGTAGATAATGCCGTTGCAAATCAGACTTTTCTTGGACCACCTTTTCATATTCACACTTCAGACTAAAGGAAATATTACATTTATAAGCTTTACCTGTGATACTGTGCCTGTAAACTCAAAAGCTCATCCTTTATTTTGTCACAAGCTTCCTGAACGGAGAACTTTGGGTGTTGGTTGCCTTGAGAAGATGACTGTAGGGAATTATATGTCCACTAAATCTTAACAACCTACTGAAAGTCTCGACGGATACATCAAAATGTAGTAATGAATTAACTCATAGAAGACATATGCATAAGTACTGCAAAAACCTCTCAAAGACCTGCGGCACGAAAAACCAAGAGTGGCGGGTTGAAGTTCCTATGATATCTCGCTGTAATATGAAACGTATAAACAAAATAGGTGGTGAAACCTAATTAGTCTATACACGATACTGAACAGATGTGTCTTCATGGCACAGTTTCAGTATATTTTTGATCAGATGTATTTTTAATATTAATATAGGCTCCTAGCCTCCTATTCTCAAACAACAAATCTAACATCAACAGTGCGAGTATTGGGACTTGGTAGTTTTTGGTCACTCGTGTTGAGTTCTTGGAGCTTGGTTTTTGTTATTTGGTTAGCCCCTGCAGTAGGCAAGGGAAACCTATCCTGCTTTCATGACTCAAGCTTCGATGGCAGCAATTAGGTAAATAGCGTCGACTAATTTATGCAATTTGCTACTTACATGTTTACCGATCTACCTATTTCGTGCCCTGCGGTAGTAAAAATAGCTCTTATTGGAGATAAAAGCGGCTTCCGTAACTTTTTCAAACCCCTCAGTAACAGTCATACTCATGTTAGTAGTAGAACAAATCAGTTGTGGCACAAATAGTCCCCCAACATCAATATACGGGGATTTGGCTAGATTTAACGCTGATGTCGACCTCCATAGTTTTAAGGAATTGTCTGTGCTGAAGGCGAATGGCCAAGCACCCATGCGAATTCGTATGTTGTCATATCACGTCACGCTGGTTGTAGGCAAGCCACTTGGCAATTATTCGAAACACATCGGTATTTCGGCATGGTCTATCAAATATGATTTTCCATCTGGTTGCCCCGCCGTCCTTTCTCTGCTTCACGCTCAAGAGCATTCCGAGGGTATAAAGAATTGGTGGCTGGTCTCCGCGTCCGTCAAGTCCGCATAAGGACGATTCGCAAACGGTTAGAACTTAACAGACTACAGCTCAACATTGACGACAGTATTGAACGTTATATTAAAGGCATATTTTCAATGTGAAACAGGCTGAAGCAAGTTCTGGTGCGGTACCGATTACAGTATCATCGATAGTTTCGTACTTTGTTTGATGTATGTGAATACAAACCACTTTACAAGTTTGATCATTATGGCAATGAGAAATGACTATTATGTACAGTGTTAAGCTGTATAGTCGATACCGTTATCCATGGCATATAAGAGGTATATCTATAGAAAGAACGCCAGTGCTTCGCGGAACAACTGTTCAGCATACTGGAGCAGGCTCAGTTCGAAATTAGGAATTGTTCAGTTATTGTTTGGATCTTACAATATTCTTGAACGTGATGCAGGCAGTGCAGCCATAACCTCGGGTGTGTGCGTTCCTCATAAGGTTTTGATGGCATGGTGAACACTGACAAATGCGATTTCTAAGATTCCATTTGAATGAAGGACTGGTTAGGTAATCCTCAAAAGTGAATAACAAACGTGAGCAGCAGGCGAAATTCGAGACAAGAGCACAAAATGTGCAGGAGTAGATCTACCATTGTACATCTGGGTGAGTTCTTTGTACTGACTACAAAGCTTACTTGAAGAAGTATCCTACACCAACTGTTTAGAGGTAAGCTTAGGTGGAAAAAGATGAAGGTTCTCACGGCAGTAGTGAAAAATAGTCTGAAGCCGAAGATATCACTACGAAATAGAGAAATTAGAAGATTTCGGACTAGGTATTCACTTGCCATAAACCTGTGTACAAAAGTTTGATGAAGTTATAAACATTTATATGAAATTCATGGTTTTTGCTAAGATGGTAACTACCCTTTATCTAGTCATGGGGGAGGGATGATTATGGTGTTGCCTGTTGAGTATTACCATATCGCGGCTACCAAAACAACATGGTGGTGCAGAGTACTTACATGTAAGTACTGATAACAAAGGGCAAATAATAAAACGTGTTACGTGTTACGAAAATTCACCGACAAATAGTTCATTTATCAGTTAGGAGTTAGGAGATTATTTTGAGGGAAGAGTTTTAAGAAATGTGTTAATTCGTGAGATCAGCCAGGTTATGAAGAAATGGAGGTTATATTAGAGTAGCTACATAGTTCACTGTTGCAAATGGCACCACACTCCGCTTCCTGTGCACTCTTGGTCAGTTTCATTTTTGAGAAATTAGGTTTTAGCTTAACTAATGCGTTTAGTTTTCGATATTGTATACTTTTTTCATTGCTGTTAGTCTCCCTTGAGTCTAGGTACCAGTAGCACCATTGTACATGGTATTACCGTTCGTGGTTTGGTCGTCAACAAGTTGGTGAGAATCGTTAGACAGAAGGAATTCACATGTAACCGTTGAAACTGGTCGAGAGATTGACATGCTCGTATAGAAGTGGGAAGTTTGATCCACAGCATACTGTGTTGCGTTATGAAAAACCTACATCAAAGTTTAGAGCGATGCTTATTTATTGTGATAATGTACTCGCTATTAGGCAGGCTATATGTCGATGTTGATTTAAAAGTGAAAGCAAATTTCGTTTTAGAGTTTCCAAATAAAAGACGAAAAAGAAGCGTCAGGTTGAGCTTCAGGCGTCTCAGCCAGAGTGATTCTAGTTCTAGTTTTTGCATCTCGCTTCTTAAGGAAGTCGTTTGTTTTTTGTTGGCAGGCGCAGAGTAGTTTCGTTGGACGTTCTCTACTCGAATTCTATCACATACTTTCACCTTACCACAGATAACCATGCAATACTCTAATATTGGGCAAACCATAGCCTTGTACAGCATAGGTTTTGCCTCAGGTGTATGCTGTTGTGTAGAAGACCGATGAGTCTTCTGCCTTTGGGAACTATCGAATCAGCATACTCCTGGAGTAAATGATTCCGAGGTCTATCACAGTTTTGTGTATCTGCAGTGCAATGTCACCCAAGCGTGGTATTACTCCTGGGTGGGATTTATTGAAATGAAGGATGCCACTTTTATTTGGGCTTAGAGGGAGCCGCCAGGTCACGCTCCATGTGAATATTCTCTTCAGATCTTCTTGTATCGGACAGAAACCTTGTGCTGGTGCAGCATGAGAAAAGCTGTAGACCGTATTCGAGTCGTCTGCGAGAAGGTACGGTATGCTATTTCGGATAACACCGCAGATATCGTTCACATAGATTAAGAAAAGTATTGGTCCTAGCACAATACCCTGGACGACACCACTTTGTGTATGTTTAGGGGAGGAGCAGCAATTACTGGATTTTACTACTTGAAAGCGACCCTCTAAAGATGTTCTAAGCCAGAAGAGTAACGGGTTTCGAAACCATATGATTGCGACTTAGTGACCAGGCATTTGTGAGGCACCTTATGGAATGCTTGCTTGAAGTCTAAGAAAAGGGTAGTTACAGATGGGCCTTGATCACGCTTGCTTGTAATGTCTAGATAGTCAAGATAGCTGGTAGCGCATGACTGGCCTTTCAAGAATCCACGTTGTGCCGGTGGTAGTAATTGGTTTGTCGTCACGTAGTTGACAACCGCTTTCACAATCACCTTTTCCACAGTCCCGGATACTACTGACGTGATGTTTATAGGTCGGTGGTTTTCTATATTAGATGTTCCGCATTTGTGCTTAGGACAAATGTATGATAGCTTCCAGTTCTCAGGGTAATTGCCGCTGGAGAGGGACGCATTAAAGGGCTTCAAGAGAATCAGCGGTATATCCTCGCCGCCTCTTTTTAACAAGATGGTCGGAATTCCATCAGGTCCCGCACCGTATGAGGTTCGAAGTGATGCTATAGCTATTTACGTGGAACCACACTTGTTGACAAAGGTCAGAGAGTGCGACTCACCGAGGTAGCGGGGACCTAAAAGTACCAGTAGACAACAGCAGTTCCGTTTACTACGAATGTTTTTTCACAAAATGCCTCCTCATTTTTCGAATAAAAATAACTCATGGTGCATCCAACACCTCAGCCTTGTGTTCGCACAGGAAATGGGTTTTGTTGCCACCTATTTTGATCGGCGTCAGTATTACCGTCGTGGTGGGCCTTGCTGATAAGAATGGATATAACGGCGACAGAAATCATAGGGAATTGCTAGCAATGGGTGAGGATTCCGCCAACAGAAAAGCAAAAGACAAAGCAGGAGCATGAAGAGAAAATCAAGAAAGAAGCAGAAGAGGAAATGAAGCACATTGTGCAAATGACTGTCTTAATGCACGGTGTACCATATTTAACGACTACTGTCCCACTTGTTGGCAATAAACATTCCTTCCTGCATAACAGACTTTGTTTTTTTCAATTAGTGTCGCTGCTTCTGGACGTAACGAAGATTCCGTGGCCTGCAGAGTTCGAGGACGGAGGCATCAAGGTCTTCCTCAGGGACTTCGAGTTGGTCGTGGAGCCGGTGGGCGTCTGGGATCCAGGAGCGAAGGTGGCAGTACTTGGCACTTTGCTGGAGGATAGAGCAAAAGCAGCGTATGGCGGCGTGGAACTAGGAGAGGGGAAGGAGACTTGGCAGAGAGTAGTTGAACGACTGGAAGCAGAGTTTGACAGCCCTGTGGACTGGGAGCTGGCGATGCATCAGTTTCGGAGCACGAAACTTGGAATAGATGAAGACTTGCCGGTACTGGCCGTGAAGCTGACCAAACTACTTCGACGAGCACTTCCCACATCGGATGAGGAGGATGGATGAGGAGTCGCAAGAGCAGTTTCTGGCTACACAGTTCACCAAAAGTGTCCCTAACGCCATGACGCAGCAGCTACAACTGGTGAACGCAGCCTAACCCACGGATATTAGTGAGATGGCCAAGGTGATTAGACAGCTGATGGGCACAGCGGTAGCTGCAGTGGAGTCGCCAGAGGTATATAACTGGAATCCTTACCCATTGCTGCCACCCTCTCAACACATACTACTTATGTCCATCCTTATCAGAAACGCCCACTACACTGTTACCCGCCGCCGCATTTGGCTTAACGCTTCTTGTTACTACATCTTTGTTATTTCGGTTACGTTGGTTACAATTCAATAGGTTAGGTTCTAATCTATCTCCAGGGTGGACTTCTTGTGGAAACATACTCACATACAGACACATATGTACAGCATCCATTTTCAAAAACTTGGTCTCATGTAAAACCGACCACCAATTGTGTACGTAATCGAATCCTG